CGCCAATTTATAATGACTGTACCGTGGTTGGCCACCATATAGCAAATGATACTTGTTTGCCTATTAGCATTGGAAAATTCTCATAAACTCGCGAGTATGATCCAATTATTTGGAATTTAAGCTAGAGATTTCTTACTAATAACAAAAACATTGGCGTTTGGAGTCAAAATTTAGAATATATTCTATATAGGTTTAGTAGAAGGGCATGTCTTGATTTATATATTGCCTTCTAAATGATGCACTTGGGGCTTGCTGCCATTTTACATGCTTTCCGTATTTGGACTCCATCAAATTCACCGGTTGATATGACTGAGATGGATGGTTTGGCTAACGCAAAGGCCACTCTACTTCAAGTTTTTTTATATCTACGTCTGTCTAGCCCTAAGTTCTACCAGTAAATTGATTAATCATTGTATATGAGTTCTACATGTACAATTAGAAGTAGTTGATTTTTTTTTACAGTTTTTATTAACAATTAAGATTAGCTTAGTAATGTATAGAGAAGATGTTTGAATTGTTAATAGGTGTTTACAATTTAGTTTCGATCAGAAAATCAAACTAACCAGCTATAGTTTGATTAAGTCTTTACTTTTGTAAGTTAAATGAGTTAAATGATTCAAACACTTTTCAAACTTAAACATAGAATTTATTAAGACTACAAACTTATATTAACTTAAAACATAATGAAGAAAAAGTCAATCTTAACAGCTGTCAACGAAAGTAATGGCATTTTGAAGTAAACTTGTTAAGGCTCTTGTATTGGAGCTTAACTAATTTGCAGTTACATTTTGTAAAAAATTATCAATAAGCCAACATCAAGAGATCATAAGAAAAGTAATAGGAGTGAATTTTTAATTCAAGTCAATATACAAAGGCTTACTTTCTGGGTAGAAGAAGTTAATCTGAGTAAATAGAACATTCTCTCCTAATTGGAGAGATCACCAGCAGAACTCACAAACAAAGTGTTTGGAGAAATCAATCAGCAAATCAGTGAAATATTACAGGCAAAACCCATATTGTTTGAAAAGTTAATTTAGAGTTTCAATGTTTCTGCTCAGCTCTTCCAGCTTCTTCATTCTCAATTTCTCACTTTCACCCACCAGCTGTGGAACCCATCATGTTCAATAACAAGGAACAAAAATAATTCATTAATTAGTTTTTAATACAAAGTAATTAAAAAAAAAAAAAAAAGGATGAGAAATTAATTGTGACAACCAAATTTGAATCCTATACCTCCATTAATTTGCCAACAAGTTGAGCTTTTTCTTTGTTCTTCTCATTCAAAGCTTCAAGGGCCTCTTTGTATTCTCTCTCCTATATACACACACACACAACATATGCTCAGGTTTTATCACTATTTCATCTTCAAATTGACATGGGTACGAAAATATATTTACAGAAAATATATAGTTTACATAATATGATGTTCATTTTGAATTTGAGTTCTACCACATCTTATATTATAGAAGAAAGGAAATTATAATAATAAACATTCAACCTTTTTCTGGCAGGTCTGTCCCAATGGTTTCAATTCTCGTTTAAGACTATCTATCCTTTTCCGTAGAATTGAAACTTCTCTTCCCATTGGATCCATAAGACTCTCAAGTTCCTAAAACCGTTAATTATAACATCAAATAATAAACATGAAGCAAATATATACAGATGTTTATCATAGTAGTAGTCTGTACCTATATAACATACATAGCATGCATATATATACATATTTAGATGTAGTTTGAAACTAGATTACATGTTAATTCTTAATTTTTTTCCCAAACTTACTTCTCGAATCTCGGCTAATCGTCTAGAAGCTTCTTCAACACGTCCAAGCTGAGCCTCAACCTTGTCTCGGATCTCAATCTTCTTCTTCTCAATCTCTTCTTCTTTGGCTCGAAACATTGCTAATGCAGATCTTGACATTTCTTCTTCCTTATCATCCATTTCACACCCATTAAACTTGATAACACCAGAATTCTTTACTCTCTGTACCTGTGTTGCCATTCTCCTTTACCTTCTTCTCTCTTCTTTTTAAAATAAACTTTTTTCTTTAGAATGATGATGGTCCTCTTTCTCTCTTGCTATATAAACAAGCTTATCTTGCTTGCTTTACAACACAAATCAATACACTATACTAATCAAATTGCAAGTAAAATTACCAAATTGCCCTCGCACCTTTGTAATCATGAAGCTTTCACTTTTGTTGAACGATGACTTTATTTAAAATCTTAAATGTTTTCCCACCTTAATTACTTAATTAACTTTAACACCCACTTAATCTAGACCGTCAAAATTTTTCTTTTTTGGTTACTTAATCTAATTAAAAATCCTTGTAGACTAAGTTAAGTTTGTAGAACAAATTAAGGAGATATAAAAATTGCATAAAGTATTTTAGTACATTAACTCCGTAAAATTTGTCAATAATTTTTCTTTCACTGGGCAGAATAATTTTTTAAAAAAAAATTCTTAAATTGAGATAATACTTTTTATTCGATAATCTTAAAGGCACATTTCTCATATTAAATATTTAAAATCTTACTCATCTGAATACTATTAGTAAAAATTAAATTCAAATGATTAATGTATATTTGTAAGATTTGTTAAATTTTAAGATTTTATTTGTGAAAATATGTTAGAGTATAAATATTTATAGATAAAAGTTCTATAAAGAATTATTTTTTATTATGTAATCTCCAATACTAATAATTTTTTGCATTTAAAAAGAATAAAAATTAAAAAAAAAAAAATTGGACAAATACATGTATTCGAGGAAATTACATAGTTATTGGGGTAATTACAATTTTTCTCCTAATTAATTATAAAATAAGCATATGTAAGTCCGAAATCCTATAACCCAATTATGTAAATAATCAAATGATATAAATTGAGGGTGTATTAGTTGCAAAGTCTTAGTTAAGTGTACTTGTAATTTGGAAAGGAGGTACTTGGGATAGAAGTTTTGTGTGAGTAGTGGACATTAAGGGCTCACCTACACAAAGATATATGTATATATATATAAACACACTCACACATGCATATTATATTTAGTAAATTGAAAAGCCTTAATGCCCAAGACAGAGTAGGAGAGATGGCCAGTAGCGACCTTCTTACCTTCCATGAATTTTGGAAGAATTTTTAATTTAAAAATTTTAATTTAATAGTTAGTAAAAATTTTTATTAAATTTTAATCTTCGTTGAACTCTTTATTAAATAGTTTAACTCTTAATTGAGCACAATTTGATAATATCCAAATAGATTTTCATATATGAGAGATAGTAGATAAAAGAATATAGATTATTTTCTTCTATATTTTGATAATTTTGAATTCTTACTAATAAATCATTTAATTATATATATATGTTAAAATTATTTCCAAAGAACACTGTAACATGTGGCAGCTACCGTTATTATATACATATATATAATATTTCTTTTAGAAAGGAATATCTTAGTTTATTGGGTTAATTAGTTCGTTTATGTAACACCTAAATTTTTATTATTTTTATTTTTTAATTTATTTTAAATTATATTAGAATTTTAGTTTAATTTTTTAATATTTAATTTATAAGGTTTTAATTTAATAAAAATAATAATGATAAAATAGGGTAAAATTATTTTTTTGATTTAATTGAAATTGATTTTGGAAAAAATGGGTAAAAATTTGGATTCTGTGGGTGTTTTTGAAAAGAAAATAGAAAACCGGAAGTCAAAACGCAATTTAGGAAAGTTGTACCACGTCAGCGCCCCAGCCAACTAGAACACGCCGCGTGGCAAGAAAGCTGACGTGGGAGGCCACGTGGGCGATCCGCGTGCACGCGATCGAACGGTCCAGATCTCATGCATGCGGACGGCCCAGATCTCACGCGCACGGACGGCCCAGATCTCATGCGTGCGGACGGTCCAGATTGAATCACGCACGGACGACCCAGATCGCATCGCGATGGACGGTCCAGATTTATTTCTATTTTAATCGCAATCGGACTGCCCAGATTAAATCGTGATGGATGGCTGAGATTAAAAGGGGAAGTTATAAATAACCTCACCCACACCCGACCCCAAACCCTAGCCGTCAGTGCCTCGCCGGAGGAGCCGGCCGCCACCACCTGCCACCACACCGGAGGGTTTTTCAACCGCCAAACGAGGAAAATTTTCCCCAATTGGCTCGTTTTTCGAAGCTGAATCCGTCTATGGCCAAATCGGAGCCAAACCACCGGCCAATCGGCCAAAAAATATCGCCGAAGTCCAGCATCCGTGGCTTCTCTCGATTTTTGCTTCCGATGAGGCCCTTTTCGGTTCCCGTTTGATGCAATTTTTATACCACTATGATCACCGTCCTTTTCTCCATAGGTTAACCGAAGCAAAACATTAAAACGTGACTCGCGCCGGAGAAGCCGCCGCACCCGAGAGCTCCGCCACCGATAAGTCTCGATTTTTCGTGATTTTTTGGCCCACCGAGGGCCCTAGGGTTGTTTTATCGAGGGAACCAATGCATGTTTGGCCGAATTCGGGTGAAAACGGCCAACCCGAGGCGGATCGCCGCCGCGGGCGGTGGTGCCGTTGCCGGAGCACAGCGGAGCCGCCGTGTCGGAATTCCCATATTGGCCAAAAAGGGGCCCTGGGTCTGATTTGGGATTTTTTGGAATACATGCAGGTACCGGTAGTGCGTTTCAGTTTCCCGGAAAAAATTCAGAGAATTTAGGGACAGCCCGTAGGCGCATTGCAGAGCCGATTTCAGACCCCGAAACAAGTAAGGATCTCTCACCCTATTTCTTATCACGGCATTAAAGCCTAATAAATGATAAAACGGTATTTTATGATTTAATAGATATGTATAATTGATTAAGGTTGCCAATGGAGCCCGAATCTGATATATTTTCAGTCAGGTGTTGTTTGATTTATTTTGCAGTTTTGAATGTTGTATGGTGCATGATGTATTTATTCTATGGTTTCGTATACGTGAATCACCGTTTCATTTATTATGCTTTGAATTATTATGAACTCGATGTTGTGTTGCCCTGTTTGGTGTCCATTACTGGTTTACGTGTTTGTGTTTGATTGGATAATTGAGATTAAGAAAAATGGTAAAAAGGTATGTGAATTGATAATGAATAATGTCTACAGCCTCACTAGATATCCTGGGAGATGGTGGACGGACCGAGTCCATAGGGAACCCTACCGGGAACGTAGTCTCTCATATCTAAAGGGGTATGGAGACCTTATGCATTTTGGCACCCATACCGGACGGGGTATAGGGACGGCCCTAGGATCAGGTTATTAATGTTAATGGTTCACGTGTAGCGGGGACCCCCTATGGATCTCTATGGATAATAGTAGGCTGGTAAAAGAGGAAATTCGTTGTCTGATTATTGAAGTGCAAAAATATAACATGTGTTATGTTACAAAATGTATATGATTTTATGATGGTTATAATGTTATTGTTTTCATATGTTATTTTCACGAGTCTCACCGAGGTAAGTGGACAGTAAAAGTTTTTATCATTAATAAATGAGTTTGTTATAAATTATGCTCCATTGGTCGTTTTTGTTTTCTACCAACCTTTACTTCTGTGGCAGTGAGATAGTATGATGCCTTTACTGGGCTAGTGTAGCACATTTCTTACTTAACCATTTCAGATCAAGAATACGTGGTTCCCGAGCCCGTTCCGCAGGAAGACGGCGAGTTAGACGCCTAAAGATTTTATAGTTCTATTTATAGTTTTTATTTCGAGTATTTCTTTTAATTAGCTTATTCTTTCATACGTTGAATACGTTTATGGTTATTGTGTAAGGGATGTTAATCAGAATTTTTATTTCGCTTTTGCATTTAAAATTTTTAATACATACATCTTCATTTAAATTTCTGAAACCGTTACAGTTTATATATACATATATATATGTATATACTATTTTTAGAAACACATAAAAGCTAGGTTATTTCATCCAAAAACTAATAGTTGATTTTATTATTGATTTTTTAACAGAAATGATGTAATACCTAGGGCTGAAATTTGGCCTGGGATCAATATTAGCATTTAAAAATAAATAAAAATTTCTTTATAAATTAATTTTTATTGAATTTATTGAAAAAAAATAGGTTAGGGATGTAATCGAACATAATTTTAGAAAGATATGTGAAAATTTGGATTCAGTTGGTGTTTTTAAAAGAAAAATTAGAAACAGGGGGTCAAAATGCAAATATAAAAAATTGTGCCACGTAGAACCGCCCGTCAGCAGCCCCAACGAACTAGAACACACCGCGTGGCAAGGCACGCTGACATCGGTGCCACGCGGGAGATCACGCAAGCGATCCGCATTCCCCGCGATTGGACAGCCCAGGATCGATCCTACGCACGTGGACGGTACGAATTTATTTTTCCCTTAAATGCAATCGGACGGTCGAGATCAAATTGTGATGGACGAGCCATATTCATTTTCTCCTTAAGTGCGATCGGACGGTCGACATCAAATCGCAATGAATAGTTCAGATTCATTTCCTCCTTAGACACGATCGGATGGACGAGATCGATTACGATGGACGGCCTATATCAACGCAGGATGGGAATAAATAATTCGCATCACATAGAAACTCGAACCCTACCCGCTAGCCCCCGTCGGGGAAGAAGAACCAAACGCTAGAGAAGGAGGCCGACCGCCAACCGTTGCCGCACCGGAGGCACCATCGATCGCCAAAAAATGTAAAACTTCTCCCTACCCACTCAAAATTCGATTTCGAGCACTCTGTTGCCAAATCAGAGCAATATGGATGACAGATGAGCCAAAGCCCGGCAGAGCTACCACGGCCAAAATCCCAAAATCCCTCCGATGAGCCCCTTTCGATTCCCGTTTCACATGATTTTTTTATCATTCTGTTCACCGTCCTTTCTTGTGCAGGTTAGCTGAAGAAAGAACCTTAGTCGCGAAGGAGGACCGGCATAGCTACCGCACCCGGAGGTTTCTCTCATCGGTAAGTTTGGTTTTTTGTGATTTTCGGCCAACTGAGGCCCCTAACGTGTTTTTGTATAGGGATACAGCTAAAACTAGAC